TTCTGGAATATGTTCGGCGCTGATCCATTTCTGGTACTTGATCCTGAGCTTCTCCGGGACATGAGCGTTGAGCATCACTGCATCTGCGCCCAAGCTGTTTCCGGTGACATAAATCTTGCCAAAATGGCCGACATCTGTCTTTAATAAAAAGGGCACCCATTGGTTTTGCTGGTAAGAAGGCAGGTTGTAATCCAGAGCTTGGAGGAAAGGGAAGACGAGCACGTGGGCCCGGACCTGGGGCAGGTCCTGTCTGAGCACGAGTTGTTGAGAAATGGCCACCACAATGGAGCCTCCGATGCTGTCGCCACCCAACACAATCCGCTGAGGGTCCACGCCGAAGTCCACCGCATGCTTCAAAAAGTACGATACAGCCACGTAGCAGCTGCGCTGTTGAGCTGGGTAGGGGTGCTCTGGTGCCAAGGGATACCTAAACCAACAGTGAGTGAAAAGGAAATATTTCAAATGCATTGGCATTCCTGTTGCTATTATTATTACCGTGTTTCCCCGAAAATAAGACCCTGACGTATATTTTTTTGCCATCAAAAAAAGGCACCAGGTCTTATTTTGGGGTGATGTCTTCCACTGACAAACCTCACTTGCGCACATTGCCCCCGGCCTCTTTTTCACTGTCAGAGGTCTTCAGGAATTTTTCTGCGGTTGACAAGGCTTTCCTGAAGGCCTCTGCAGCCGGTAACACAGCTCTGAGTCGATCCGGAGCTTTGTTATTAGCTCCAGAGGCCTTCAGGAAAGTCTTGCCAGCCTTGCTGGCTGCAGAAGAAATGGGCCAGCCAGGCAGGTGTCGGGGTGTGCGAGGCCTGGCTATCGTCCAAAGGTAAGTAGTAGGGCAGCTCCATCCTCCCCCCTCCCCCCCCCCCCAGCTTAATTTTTACCCATGCTGGAGTGGGCGGAGTCATAATCCGCTTATTTTGGGTGCATGTGTAAAAATCACGCTAGGGCTTACTTTCAGGGTAGGTTGTATTATTATTATTATCCATTTAATCATTAAACGTGAAACTCAGTCAACTGAACTTTTAAAATTGTCTCACAAATGTCGTTGACTGGCACTGATGGTTGATACGGGTTACTGCCAGAATAATAGTAACAGTAAGAATAGTAACCTTTATTGTCATTTTATGTATACAACAAATTTGATTTAGCCTCTATTGGTCCAATCCATAACAAAAATACAAGACAACATGAATAGTATAGAGAATAATCCTTGTCCAAGTAATTGGGGGAAGGGAAATGTTTTAATTAATCTCTCAGTCCCTTCCTTTAACTTTCCTGCTCTTAGCCACTGCCAGGTCCTGTTATTATCTGTTATTATGTTTTTAACGTATTCATGTTTAACGAATAGAAGTGTTATTGTTGTTGTTATTATTATTGTTGTTGTTGTTGTTGTTATTATTATTATTATTATTATTATTATTATTATTATTATTATACACAAAAATGACAGTGTGCACAGCAAATGAGATAACTATGCTGGGTTTCGTATCACAAATCACTAGTCGAACACTTCCCAAGTGTTTAGGACTGCGTGATGTATCGGTGGATTATGCGAGCGGATCCCAGTAAGGTGGCCTTCTGCAGCTGACCAATGGTGATCTTGTCAGCGCCAATTGTTTTTAAGTGCTTGCCTAGGTCTTTATTATTATTATTATTATTGTTGTTGTTGATATTATTATTATTATTGATTTGATCTTCAATACGATTCACAGTGGGATTGGTAAAAACTCAACAGTTCAAGCCCTAATCAAGGAGCTAAGAGCTGTCAAAGTAAGATCTGAATATATAGGTATTATATTCTTATTAAAGATTTACTCTTCAGTTCAGTCCAGGACTAGTAAAAACTGAACAATTCAAGTCCTAAGCAAACACCTAAGAGTTGTTAAGGTAATATCTGAGTATGTGAGCACTTCTAATTAAGATAATGGTTGTTGTTATTATTATTATTAAATCTTTGGTGAGATTCACAGCCTTTGGGGCTGGTTGGTAGCTCAACAGCTCGAGTCCTAACCAAGGACCTAGGAACTGTTCAGGTAGCGTCCAAGGATAAAAGCTGTTCCAAGTAGGGTGGTTTTTTTTGTAGAATCAGGGTATTCAAGTCTGATAAATTCAGAATTT